CTACAAAAACATTATCTTGCAGTCTTAGTGTCGCCAACTCGTTTCTGACATGCAAAAAGACAAAAAAATGCGTTTCCAATCCAGACGAGATCTCTCTCTCCCGTCTGTGTGCGAGGGGGCGGGGCAGTTTACACACACGTGGCTGCTACATGCCAACACACTCTCACTCCATAATCGTCCAGGAGCGACGTTTGGTCAGGGTCCCGTGGCGTGCAGTTGTGACGCTCCTAGGCTCCTTCAGCTTCATAAAGGGACGCAAATAGCTTTCAACTGATTGCAATGTATTCCCATCTGCGGCGGGATTTGACGCTCATGGAAGCACGGCATTCGTTTGTGTCGGCTGCCGTTAAAGGCAATGTGAGCGTCCATTTCCATTGGATAACGGAGAATTGTACACCCGGAAGTAAGTATTCCTCTTACTGTCGTTTGATTTTACAGTGATATCTGCACTACTCATCGACTAAAAAACACCAGATTATCCTTGTTAATTACACAACATTGATTGGTTTAAATTGTGTGCAATGCTTTTGTATTTTTCCCCTTCGATTCGGAGAAACAAATATTTTTTCGGAGTAAAGGATGGCAGAAGACACTACACTACCCAGAATCCCCAGCTATCGTTTAGGACTACACCATGTGCTCTGTTTGACAAACCCCGTTTTTTTTCGTTCTTTATTGCTACCCCCTTCCCCGTCAATATATAGTGTTGGTCCACAGCGCAAACGTATTAGTTTAACAAACTCCGCATCTAAAGATACGTTATTTTCTCCTGTGCAATTCCAGTCTCACATCTCACAGCACATCGTCATTAACAAATACCGGAAACAGACCGAAAACATTTAAAACAAATTAAATAATACTTTTTTCCGAGTGTGCTTGCTTTTCTCTTTGAAAGTCATCATATAACGGCATTGTAATACACGGTTCAGTTGCATTAAATATTACATATCTGCCGTAGTTCTCTATTTATAGAGCCCTGATGAGAAGACTTCTAGACAAACATGAGGAACTGAAAACGTGACGTGGATCATAAATATATCAGCAATTAAACAACATCTTACATTTCTTTTCACACAATACGTCTCCTTGCAGTATCAACACTAATTCGGCTGACTTTTATATTTGATCCAATTGGTAGATAGGCTGTATTTACACCATAAAGGTGCACAGCAGATATAAAGGGACACCTAGTGGTTAAAGCACGTTATTGAATTTCATTATTTTTATTATTAGATATTAATAGGATCCCTATAAAGTATATTCATTACTCGTTATTCTCTACTAATAGTTAATTAAAGACTATATAATGACTATTTTGCACATCCCTTTCAAGATTTCAAGATTTTCTAAGGTTTATTGACATATTGACATCACTCTCCTCCTCTGCTGCTGAAACCCTGATTCATGCATTCATCACTTCACGACTCGACTACTGCAATAGCATCCTCTACGGCAGGGGTGGGCAATTATTTTTTCCATGGGGCCACATGAGAAACAAAAAATGTTGTGGAGGGTCGGGCCAAAAGGCTGAACTCAATTCTGCATAATATTAAATTGTATTTCTTTATAAAAAGCAGTAAATAGCATTGTTTTGACAAGCTGGTAAGAGTATATGTTATAGTTGAGCAATGAAAAAGTGAGGTTGCCTTACAAAAAATGTAATTTATTCAATCAAATTTCCCAAAACAATGGTAAACAAAATGTGAACGTTTTTCACCATTTCTGACTCATATTAGTGAACATTTTCAGTCACATTCACTACAAAACACATTTTGAGTTTAATATACTATTGGAAAGTTGTGTAAAGGTTCTTAGCATTCTTAACCTGTTAAACCCGAAGCGGGGACCCTGGTTTTTTTTTCACGACACTGTGTCTCAGGGTATCTTAATATTTAAAAACCTATTTATGTGTTATACCAGATTAACGAGAAGAATCTCAGCTAACTGACTATACGAACCTTTTTTACCGAAACAAAACACAAGTCTCACAAGAAGCGTTAGCATTAGCCCTTAGCTAAAACGGGCAGATGCTACTTCCGGTGCTAACTAGCAAAAACGATCTTTAAAACTTAATATTTTCTGCACAAACTACATATCATCTGAAAGCTGATACTCCACAGATTATTTTGTTATAAGTATCATCACTGTAGGACACAAACTCACTGAGATATCAGCCAGAACAGAGAAGAAAAAAAACAACTGTTTTCAAAACCATAACAATAATTATGTCTTACCGTTGCTGTTTTGTGATCAAAGCTCGTGTTCAAGGGAATAAAAACGCTGCTTAAGGTTAATCCAATGTCTATTAGTCACTTTAGAATTGTTCCTGATAATCTATCATTACATTCATGGCAGCAGAGTAGGTAAAAAGTTTCGCAGTCCCGAGCTAATGCTGTCTCACGTGCTGTTTACGCAAACCTCTCTCTACTTGACCTAAGTGTTTAGCGGGACTTACTAACTGTCACTCGATTATATTGGCTCTAACGGTTCAGAAAAGGTGTCAATCACCTAAGGGGGGGCGCGAAAAAAAAAAAAAAGTTTTAACAACATTATTTATTGACTTTTCATTCCGGTATAATCATTTTGCGCAAAGATGGCACTGTTTGTCAGAGCACTTCATCCTTCTGGGATTTCATGAAGAACAGCTCCAACACCTGTGTGTATGGGAATGCCTCTGGTGCTGGTCCATTAACTGCCAGTGTTTCCCACAGATCTGAAATATACTTTGGGGGGTGGTGGTAGCGGGGGGGGTTGAGGTGACGTGCAACAACATTAACCTTTCTGTTGGTCGCTTGTTAGCAGACCCTTCACGCGATGGCAGAGCGAACAGGTACAGGTACAGGCAGGGTCCATAATGATAGCCCTATAGTTTAAATCTACTACCCACACATGAACATATGGAAATGGGTTACTATTTAAAAAAATAAATGTATTTATTAATGTATTTAGGAACCTATCCATGTGATTTTTAGTGGGGGTCGACCTCAAATCCTCTAGGGGGGTCCAGGGGCAGGGGGGACCCAGGGGGACCCAGGGGGGTCCCCGGTAAGATTTTATTTTTTATTTTGGAGTCAATCTGGTGCATTTTGAGGGGAAAATAAAGAGACTAGATCTATGGAAACACCTATATTTAACAGAACTGTATACATTTCAATAATCATAAAATCAAGGCCATAACCAATAACATACCATTTCCAATATGAAAAAAACACTGAAACTTGTTTATTAATTTAGTTTTGGTTCATTTATAGTTGTGAGTGTGTCTGTGCTCCTGAACCAGCCTCTCCTGTCTCCCTCCTCTCCCCCTGCTCCTCTTTGAGGCAGCAGCAAAGACTAGTTTTCTCTCAACAAGTTTTAAAAGTGTATCTTACCTTTTTTCACCTAGTTAACTTTTTATTTATTTATTCATGCATATTTTACTAATCACATTACATTTCATTTAGCTGACGCTTTTATCCAAAGCAACTTATAATGACCGATTACAGGGACATTCTCCCTGGAGTAACTAAGGGCTAAGTGCCTTACTCAAGGGCACACTAGTGGTGGTGTTCCTGGCGGGATTTGAACTCACAGCCTTCCGATCTTCAGCCTTCCGATCTTCAGCCCACCTCACTATCCATTAGACCAATCACTACCCTCTCAAATGGAAATATGTGTTTACATAAATGGTGACCACACCGTTTGAGACCCACTGAGAACTTAGACTAAGTTAACTATCTAAACACTCAGAGAGTCCTTCACCTCACCTGAGCTGAGGTTATCCCGAGCTTGAATAACACACAGAGACCAATCAAGGGCTTTGATTTATGATCTGTATGACAGTGGCCATGTCGGCAGGCCACATCATGTGGACAGCCAGTCACCCTGTGTGAGGCAGGCCACTTAACAGGCCAGAAGGAGGCGAGATCAGAGCAAGGGAGCGAGGGATCATTGTCTACAAGTTAATCGATCGCAGATGGCGTCGTGGTCACGGACGAATAAAAAATATATATATAATAAAAAAAAAATGTTATAAAAAAAAAAAAAAAAAAACTAAATGGGTCGCGAAATATACTTGGGCGGCCGTTAATATACCTGGGCGGCCCGCCCAAGTATAGTCTATGTGTGGGAAACCCTGCATACAGTACCCACACAGCTACACTTACACCTACACACACACACACCTACACTTACACACACCTAGTACACACACTCACACACACAAAAATATATTTTAAAAACAATTATTTAAAAAAAAATATATATATTTTTTTTGTTTTTGTTTTTTTTGGGTGGAATGAATACCTATAGTGATTATTCAATGTAATACAATAATTGTTATAGTCTGGTACCTGAAAAAGGTCAAATGACACTGATGGAACCAAATGTGCCCAAAGCTTATTCCGCCTGGACTTTATTTTCATAAACCTCTCTAAAAAGGGCAAATGTCACTTGTTTTGCCTCAATCTTGATACAGGGTACTTATTATATGTTATACTTTGGATTCCTAAAGATTTTAGACTACTAACCCATCATTCAAGGTTGGTCTTCACTATAAGTAATGGGTTTTATTTAGGCGGAGACAGGAATTTACATTTTTTTGCTATGTTCCATCTGAATTTACTCTGACACAGAAACATCTATATTGATTCTGACACTTCTACATCCAACTCACAGATGTAACCTTGCTTTGATAACAACAATTATTCATATAAACCTTTTAGAAGTGAAGTTATAGTCATTTGTTCTGGGAATGTCATTTTCGAGCCTGAAACCTGAAAAACAGGCTCGGGGTTTAACAGGTTAAGACATCACAACATTGTCTTTGTGCTCCAAACATTCAGCAAGATACATCATATTGAACTGTCACTGAACATCACTGAACTGTGATTTTGAGAAAAAGGCTTCCAAAGAAAGTGTCCCAGTTCACTGCTAGTTGGTACCTTTACATGCCTACATGTGTAGTCTAACCACCTCATTTGGTGTTTTTAAGTTCTCTTTTCTTGTTCAGTGAGATACATCTAGTCTCTGCTGGGCTTTAACGAGTGCATCGAAGTCAGGTTGAATGTCTGAGGTGGAGATAAGAAGCACAGCTGACAGATGATCATCAGTGAGAGAGGATCTATACCTGGATTTCATAAACTTCATCTTTGAAAATGTTTGTTCACATATGTAGGTAGAGCCAAAGAGAACCAACATCTTCTGATCATGTCTCCTCATGTTTGGAAAGTTCTCCTCCTCGAGAGAAGAGTAGAAATCCAGCAGAGATCCTGACTTAAAGTGCTCTACCAGTACTGCATCAGACTGCAGGTCAATGAGTTCCAGATGAACATCACTGGGTGCATTATCCACACTGCAGGTAAAGGGAGAGGAAATCATGGGCATTTCATCCTCGATTGTTCGGAGATCTTCAAATCGCCTTGAAAACTCACCATGCAATGCTCCTAATATGGATGAGTACCTGCGGAGGTAATCAGCTGATGGTGTGACTTCTTTCAGGGTTTGCATGTGAGTGAGAGTGTTGCTCTCCAGTTGGCTTGAAAGAAACTGCATCTTTGTCATGAAAGCCTTCACCAGGCTGTGCATTTCATGAACAAAAAGGCATTTGCCTTGCAGTTTGGTGTTCAGTTCATTCATCAGTGCAGTCACATCAACAGCAAATGCAAAATCTGCCATCCAGTCCTCATCTGAGAGCTCTGGGATGTCTTTGCCTTTCTTCTCACAAAACTCTTGAATCTCTGCTTTTAGGTCCCAAACTCTTTTTAGCACTTTGCCCAGGCTGAGCCATCTGACAGCTGTGTGGTAGCCGATGTCACTATGCTCAGTTTCATGCTCCTCCAAAAGTGCAACAAACTGTCTGTGATTCAATGCCCGTGCCCTGATGAAGTTTACTATTTTAGTAACAACATCAATAACATGGTGAATTTTTAGCACTGACTTGCACAACACATGTTGATGTATAATACAATGCAAAAATACCAATTTCTGATCTGCGTCACTTATCTTGCATACGTTTCAAAAGTCCAACATTTTTACCTGTAAGATTTGGACAACCGTCTGTTGTGACACCTGCCAGTCTGTCCCATTTCAGTCCCAGCGTGTCCATGCACGCATTTACCTCCGTGAACAGATCGCTCCCTGTTGTCGTCCCTTTCATCGGCCGCATTGCTGCCAGCTCCTCCGTAATCTTGAAGTCCGGCGTTATCCCACGGCCAAATACGCGTAACTGCGCTGTGTCGTGGACATCACAGCTCTCGTCCAAAGCCAAGGAGATAAAGTCAAAACTTGCCACTTCATGTTGCAGCTGAAGCTCCAGATTCCCCGCAATGTCCTCGATCCTTCTCGTCACGGTTCGCCTGGACAGCGGGACTTGCTCAAAGGCTTCTTTTTTTTCAGGGCATATTAGTGCTGCAGAGTCCACTAAGCACTCTTTGACAAACTCCCCCTCTGAGAATGGCTTACTGTGTTTAGCTATTTTGTGGGATATCACAAAGCTGGTCTTGGATATGTGAAGCTTGGTAAAAAAGCCTTGCTGCTTTTGCAGCTTAGCTAGCAAAGCATTCGATGTGCGCGCCCTTTCAGCATCAGTCAATTTTTTGTATTTCTCCGCGTGTTTCGTCTCGTAATGCCGACTCAAATTGTAGTCCTTGAACACGGCGATCTTCTCCCCAAAAACTAAACACACGGCTTTACCTCCGACTTCGGTAAATAAATACTTAGCAGTCCAATTTTTGTTGAAAACCCTACATTCGGCATCTACCTTTCTTTTTTTTAGCATGAGCTGACATTTTTGAGCGCTAAAGTCGTCTTGTGACAATGATCCAATAACGCACACGTCTTGATTTGACGTATTGCGTCCTTACCTACTGGCCTAGTTAAATCAAAGTGGTTACTTCTTTTTGGCTGGGCAGTGTAGTTTTACACACCGTCTTATTTGACTTTCTCAGGACTTAAAACTGTTTTTTGGGGGCAGACGCCCTCAAAGAAAAAAAAATATTTACACACGTAAGGTCATCGTCTTAATAGTTTTGTATGCTCATCCGTGAGCAGAGCATCAAGTTGACATGTCTATTACAGCTGAATGCCATTTTGTTCAGCAAAACGCCTCACAAACGTATTAAGATCAACAGCTTTAGTGCGTTTTGATTCAATGCTGAGTACAGCCAAACTGACAGTCTCTTCTCTGTCATTGTAGACCGCAAATACCTCGTTCCTTCAGTGCTTGGGTCCGAATGCTTCTCGTTTTGCGCTGTCCCGTTCAAATGAAATCACCGCCAATCATATGTCCACGCTCGCGCCAGGACCGGGGGAGGGGTTACATGACGTGCATCTTGTGCTGCATTCACTTGCACTCGGACATTAGAGACTTTCTCTCATAAATGTCCGATGAGCCACAACTTTTCTTTCAAAACAAAGCTGCCAACTAGGGTGGCAGCTGGGGTGGCAAGGCCTATTTTTAGGGTGTCAATAGCCACCCCGGTAGGTGAAACTAGGCTACTAGCTACAGTACAGATGGAACTAGATGAGTTGTTGACTCTCACTCTGAATTTCTTTTTTTTTAAACTCTCGCTCTGACTCAGACAGGTTGAAAGAGACACACACATTTTTCCCACCCGCATTCCGTGAAGACCCGCCCTACTGTGCCTCTGATTCGCAGATTGTTTGGGGGGAAAAACGCTGACGGGATGCTGAATGTGATTGGACCAATGCGTTTACAGACACACACAGACAGTGGAACAGGACATGCAGAGCGCTGTTTGCAGTCTATGGACATAGCGGATCATTTTGACTCGTTCCGTTGTGGCGATGTCTCGCAGATAACACAGATAACACAGATAATACATATGAAAAGTATAATTTGCTCAGAGTCCAGAGACAGTTGTGGATTCTGGGTAGTGTAGTGTCTTCTGCCATCCTTTACTCCGAAAAAATATTTGTTTCTCCGAATCAAAGGGGAAAAAATACAAAAGCATTCCACACAATTTAAACCAATCAATGTTGTGTAATTAACAAGGATAATCTGGTGTTTTTTAGTCGATGAGTAGTGCAGATATCACTGTAAAATCAATCGACAGTAAGGGGAATACTTACTTCCGGGTGTACAATTATCCGTTATCCAATGGGAATGGACGCTCACATTGCCTTTAAGGGCAGCCGACACAAATGAATGCCGTGCTTCTATGAGCGTCAAATCCCGCCGCAGATGGGAATACATTGCAATCAGTTGAAAGCTATTTGCGTCCCTTTATGAAGCTGAAGGAGCCTAGGAACGTCACAACTGCACGCCACGGGACCCTGACCAAACGTCGCTCCTTGACGATTATGGAGTGAGAGTGTGTTGTACATGCAGCAGCACACACACGGCGGGGATGGCGGAGAGAAGCGCTCCAAGGTGTGGTTAAATGTTACCCGTCTTGAGGTGGACAATGCTCGTTGCCAAGAGTGTTTAGCATGTAAGGGCGGTAACACGAGCAATGTGTCCAAACATTTAGCAAAAGTGCACCACATTCAGATGGAGGAATGCACCGGGTTCCACTGTCTTTCTAGTAGCTCTGTAGCCCCGTCCACGAGTAACGTTTCCACGTCAGGTGTTATGTATGCTAGCAGCAACACACAGACATTACATTACATTATACAAACATGGGTTAATGATTAGAGGAAACTGAGTTATTTAGTTTGTTAAAGTTTCAGCTATTCTGTTTACAGTTCTGTCATCAGATTATTTAATACGATTTGTTAAAACACTGTTGTTTCTTTTGATGTGAAATATTATTGATTTTATTTAAATAAAAAGCAATGTTAATTTTGTTCAAAATGTGTTTAGTTAATTTAATAATATATGTATTTTTGAATCAAGTATTCATCTTTTATTGTCTTCATTGTTAGTTTCCACATGCCTAAAACAACCTCAAGCTAAATCTAAAAGTTGATGGCTAAATAAGAGCGTTTGAGAAATTGTGCAAGGCATACAGTAATAGTCCGAATAGTCGATTAATCGTTTCATTAATCGATAGATGAATCGATTATCAAATTAGTCTTTTGTTGCAGCCCTATTATCCCATGTATAAATAAAACGTGTTATTCAGCAACCCTTGCAATTTGGGATTTTATTTTTGGTTGGTAGACCTCGGTGAGCTGGTCATTTCAAAAGTAGCTCACCAGTCAAAAAAGTGTGGGCACCCCTGCCCTAAAGGGTCTGTAAGGAGGGATTGTTAGAAATTAAAATCAATGTTTTATGGCATAATTTAGTTTAAACATACCATCAGCTTAAATGCTGTTTTATTCTGAAAAAACAGAAGTTCTCGCACAATCTTAATGCCAAGCTTTTATTCTGAAAATCCTTCATCTCCGGTTAGCATTTAGCATGTGGCTAATATTCCTTTTCTTAGAATTGTGAATGTAAAGTTAAAATGTACATGGAGTATTTCACACCAAAGCCTACTGACTTTAACACTACATCTATAGACATCGAGATATTACTATTGCTGAATATTAAATGAAGGTACAGTTATTTTAATAAGTTTTGTTTACAGACGTGTTGGTATGACAACATCCGGAACTACTGTGAATGATAACTGCCGTAAAGTATTTCCAGTATTATTAAAGTAATGAATTACAGCCGTTAAAATGCAATAAATGAAAAGTCATGAAAGAGAATATGAGGAGAAAAGGCGTGTTTAGTTATGTATTGAATGTACAATGTCTGAATCCTCTGTTTTGCGCAACAACGGACATTGAAGACCAGAGGCGGGCGCACCCCCTACAGCGCCAACCGGCTCACGAGGAGGGGCCATCGGATGATACTTAAGGAGCTGACGTGCATGTTTGGGCTCTCTCTCCTTCGGTCTCGAGACAGCTGTTTTCTCTCAGAACCATCTTCTGCCTGTAACATTGCCGCGCCATTTTAATTAAAGTACCCATTTGAACCTTTCTCAGAGACTCCATTGTCTCTTACTTTTAAAGCTTCTCTCCTGGACGCGAGAATAACGAATACCCTAATAGTTTACAACTACAAAAATAATCGGTTTGTTTTTGTATCACATCCGACGGGAGGAAATGCAGCCCGGCTCTCACTACCAGTGTCGTTTTCTCCTGGAGGCCAAGGGAAGCCAGGCTTCCCCTGTTTTTTCGGATTGTAGTTATAATTTTAATAAATAAATAAAAACACTTCGTTTAGTTTCGGAAATTCTTTGTTTTGTGTTGCTGCCAGCCCGTCTCTCCCCCATTCTCATTGAGTATTTTAGAAAGAGTGAAACAGCGCCCCTCTAGATGTTATGGTGAAACAGTAGATTGGAGTCTTCGGCCATCCTAAACTCAGAAAAGTTTTTCGGCTTTGATATGGCATTAACACCATATCCCTACATGCATTGCGGCTAAAACATCCAATCAGCGAGCTTAAACCATAGCTGAGGATCTTGGGTAATCAGTTCAGTGGCTGTGTATCGCAATGATGCTCGAAATGTCCGTTATAGGCCTACGTCTATTTCCGGTTATTTTTATTTTGAAATTCAGTTCCTGACGGACGCCAAAAAAGCCAGAGATTATGGAATTGTAGAGACAATATCGTGGCATGATATTGAGTAAGAACATGTTTTTATGAACTCCACAGTTTCCGGTCTTCCAAGACCCGAACGGACAAAAAGACGTGCTGCAGGCACAAAACACACTACCAATAGAAGTACATTGCTTTTAAAATCGTTCTGTGTGACACGAAAAAAATGAGAAAATCGTGTTGGTGAACACGAATCAATAGATTACATGTCGTGACTATAACACGAAATGCCGTGAGACTGGGTTGTCTGATGATAGTGTTCAAGACAGCCTATATGTCTGAACTCTATCCTTAGAGCAGGGGTGCCCAACCAGTCGATCGCGATCGACCGGTCGATCGCGGGGAGATTCCCAGTCGATCGCGAGATGTGCCTAAAAATAGAACAACAATATTCTGTTTTATCGTTAATGTCCTATAACATAATTTTCCTGTGCCAGAATAATGCACTTGAACGCATCAAAGCTTTGTGATTGGCCGGCGTGACCCCATGTGTCGGGGCGTGGCTGGTGGGCAGTGGGCACTATTTCGCTGACATTGTCCGTGTCAACACTCAACAACAGGAGTGACAGTCCGCACACACACAAGACCGCAATTATGGCAGAAGCAAAAAATCCCAAAATATATAATTTTCACTCCGAGTGGGAGGATGATTATTTTTTTATCTATTCCAATTCAAAGTCCATCTGTCTCATCTGCAATGCGAGCGTGGCTTTATCGAAGAATGGTAATTTAGGAGCGGCATTTCAAAACAGTGCACAAACGCTACGAGACGGAATTCCCTCCTAATTCTGCCCTACGCTCCCAAAAGGGGAGGGACCTGAAAGGACCGCTAAATGCACAGCAGTCCATTTTCACCAGGCCCAACAACAAGAGCAAGGCTGCTACCAGAGCATCTTATCGTGTCATGAAGTCTTTCAAA